GTAAACCTCACAGCTTCTGCTCTTAGCAACAACCAAAAAAAATCATCTAGAAAAGCTGTATTTTATTTTTCCGGTATCTAAACAGTATTCAGATTGGTAAGTCAGCCACCTGAAATGTAGGAAGTGGCAGATTTAAGAGGTTTCATATGATTTTAATTCAGCTCCCATAAGACTGTTCTGTGCAACAAATAAAGAACCATAAAGAAAAAAAATGAACACGTAGGAGTGTGAATTTAGACCTACTTCCTAATGGATGATACCAGAAATTTCTCAGCAGACACTTCTGTAGCCTGAGAGGATTTTACCTTCTCAGCATCCACGACCTGCTTTACAGAACAAGGTATCCCAATACACTTTTTACAGTGAAAAGCATCAGGCAACTCAAAACTGAATTGCTGGTAGCTTTTCCTTATAGTATCACTTGTGCATATATATATTACTCATCTCTTACGACTCCTAAATTGTGTAAGGCTGCAGTGGCTTTATCTACCAAACACCGGAGACTGGCTCTGGCTGTTACCATCACTCATGCGAGGGGAGTCACAGGCAGCGAGCAGGGATTCGCTGTCAGCTCATTTCTAACTGCCGATGGCTGATTCATCATCAGGGTTTGTGAATGCACAGACCAGAACTACACCCACTTAATATTCTGTCTTACTATGTGCTTAACTACCAAGAAAATCAACATTACGAGAGGAAGAACAAACAGCCCAGAAAAGCAGAATATTACAGCCAGCTCTGCTTTGATCACACACTTTCACGTTCATTTTTGGATGGAACAGCAGGTTTAAACAATCCCATGTTTTAACCCAACAGTCTGCTGTGCCCCAAAAATCAATCTCTCATTGTGCCAGGATTGTTTTGTGGTGCCATGCTATGAATCACTCTAGAGAATTAACTTGGCTGAAAAATATACGCTTCTTTTTGCTCTGTTGTTTTTTAGACAGATTAGTTTCTTATTAAACCCACAGCAGAACTGAATAAATACTGGAAGGGACAGTGAAAGGGCAAGAGCGTCTTGAATCAGTGCTGCTGACAGAGACACAGCAAGTTCACAGTTAGTAGCACTGGTATTTGGCAAACTCCATTCCCCCCTGCAAACTACCTTGTGTTCTTCACAGAAACAGATGAAAAAGCTAACTGGACTGAAAAAAATATATCTAGTAAAGAAGACATGGCTGAGTAAATGAGTAATGCTAAAGAACTATACATGGAACCACAAGATTGAGATTAACACATATGATCAGGTAGGGGTTGGGAGAGAAGGCAAAAGAGAGAACCAGGATAATGAGAAACGGATGGGTAGAGGAAGAGATCAACCAAACTGAAAGGAGAAAGGGATAAAAGCAAAACAATGACGAAGAAAGAAAAGAGTACGAAGTGCCGAGAAAAGCAAAGCATAATAAAATGAGGACAGATCTAGAGCAAAGAAAGCAGTGCCACTAAAAATACCATCAGATCACACTTTCATCTTTCTCAGATTAGAAAGACAGTAATTCACCAACTAGCAAACCAAGGCCCTGGGCTTCTGATTTTGAGGATTAAAAAACTATTGTTCCTCAAATGACCCAACTCAGTCTGGCAGCCCAAAAGATCCTCCTTTGGCAGCTGTACCTGAACTAATTCAGAACAGCTTCCATAAAGCAAAGAACTATCCCCACATTAAAAAGGGAGAAAGCATGCACTGGCGACTGTTAAAAACCTTACTTACACACACTGATTCAGCTTTCCCTTCAATGTATCACAGTGTGCTTTCATCTTCCTTGCAGATATTGGTTCCTTGCCGATATTGGTTCCTTGCCATGGGCAAGGTTACCTGACAGCAAGGTGAATCTGTTGGGCATCAGTTGCTGAAAGGAGGCAATGTACCCTGCCCCACCATCTCCCAAATATTACTGAGTTTTCAATGGGGTTTTTTTGTTGCTGCTTGCTTTCTCTGCTACTGTGCATTTTCCTACTACCTTCTCATAGAATCATAGAATAGTTGGGGTTGAAAAGATCAAACTCCCTGCCATGGGTAGGATGCCTCACACTAAACCGTGCCTCCCAAGGCTCTGTCCAACCTGGCCTTGAACACTGCCAGGGATGGGGCAGCCACAGCTTCTCTGGGCACCCTGTGCCAGCACCTCAGCACCCTCACAGGGAAGAACTTCTTCCTTATATCTAACCCGAACTTCACCTGTTTCAGTTTGAACCCATCACCCCTTGTCCTATTGCTACAGTCTCTGATGAAGAGTCCCTCTGCAGCATCCTTGTAGGCCCCTTCAGATACTGGAAGGCTGCTCTGAGCATGTTTTCCTCCTCCTCTTTGCCTACAGTACTGCCATATGTAGAACAAAAGTATGTCCAAAGCAGCATCCAGAGAATACAAGCCTCTTCTCCCTGGGAATCAGATCAGTCCCCAACTTGCAAAAATCTGAGGAAGCTGGATAGATCGTTTACTCTTGACTATCACCTCCAGGAAAACACCACACAACACATACGATTCCCAATAACGTTTGCCAACAGTCCCTAATTTTGCAACACAAAACTAGAAAAAGTGTAATTTGAAAACAGAATAAAACTTAAAAATATCTGTACCGTTTGACACGTGAAAACCAACTCCTTTCCACAACAGTTACAAACTGTCACCTTGCTCCTGTCAAAACTGTGACCTACGCTCAAGCCTCATTAAAAAAAAAGAATTAAATTGATATTTCACAAGATTTCAATCTTGAAAATGCACATTGACCTCTATTGTTCTGTCACTGCAGGCAAGGTTAGCCGCTTCAAACAATGGCTGAGGGCGCTGTGCAGCCAACATCGCCCAGCATCATTTGTCAAACGGTTCTTTCAGGTAGATGCAACTTAATGTAAAATTTCTGTTTCCTTCCAATTAAGCGGCACAGAAGATGCCGCTCAAATTAATTCTAACTGCTAGGTAAGAGCACCATCTGGCGGTCACATAATTAAACTGTCAACATGCTTTCGGATCCGGTTTTCTGTTTGCTTTGGGGCTTTTGGTTTTGGTGGGGTTTTTTTGGCGGGGGGATGGGGATGTTTTGGGTTTTTTTTTTTAAGCAAACTTACTCTGCACTGGATCTGGCTCCATGAGATAGGCACAAAAAAGCTGCAAAGACAGCTAGGGAATATTCTACTGGTGGGTGAGAGAGGAGCAGAACAACTGAAAGAAATTGCTGGGGTTTTATACATAACTATTTCCCCCTAAAACCCAAGCAAAACTATATAGTATTATATGGCTTCTTAGAATATTTTCCATCCTCACAGAATCATCTATTATCCTAGAATGGTTTGGGTTGGAAGGGATCTTAAAGCTAATCCAGTTCCAACCCTCTGCCACACGAGGGACACCTTCCACTAGATCAGGTTGCTCCCGTAAATTCTGCTTGTTATGGGTATGCCGTAACTAATTTTTATGTCTTCAGGCATCTTGGAGAAAAACCAACTGCTCCCTCGCCCACCAGCAGTTACGTACTGCCCCCTGCCAGCTTTACAACCTTTCCCAACACTGCACCTTCCTG